ATCTGCAGCCCCAAGTAATAGTGGACATCCCCCAGCATCTTGCACTTGAAGTTGTCCATCAGCAGCTTCTGTGTCCTCTCAATCTGCTCCATGGGAGTTGAGAACAGCAGTATGTCGTCGACATACACCAGCAGCAAAATCAGCTGCTCCCCCTCTCCAAGCAGAAACAAGTTGTGATCTGCCTGGGACGACTTGAAGCCTCCACCCAGCAGCACCTCCTCCAGCTTCTCGTACCAACACCTGGGCGCTTGCTTAAGGCCATAGATGGCCTTCTTAAGCTTGCACACCCGGCTGGTTCCATCCTCATAGCCGTCGGGCTGCGCCATGTAGATATCCTCCAGCAGTATTCCATTGAGGAACGCAGTGGTGATATCCATCTGCTTCACGTGCCATCCCTTCACAACTGCGCCAGCCATCAAAGTCCTCAGTGTCACTGGCTTAGCAACGGGAGCGAAGATCTCCCCGAAGTCGACCTTCTCCTTCTGCTGAAACCCCTTGGCGACCAAGCGGCTCTTGTACCGCTCCAACGCACCATCAGTACCACTCTTCACCTTGAAGACCCACTTGCTGCTGATCGGCCGTCGCCCCTCGGGTAACTCAACAAGCTCCCAAGTCCCATTCTCAATGAGACTGTTGAACTCCGCATCCATGGCAGCCTTCCACTCCTCCTTCTGGGTTCCACTCAGTGCCTCCTCCAATGTGGCTGGTTCTCTAGGCAGAGGTGTGAAGAAACAGAATGCCATCTCCTCATCATCTCCCTCATCCACCTGAACCGCCATGGCACCTTGCTTGGGTCCTCCCAAACGGCTATACTTCAGCCTTGAGGGTGCTGCTGCCACTCTCTTCTCACGGGTTACAGTCTGCTGCCCATGTGGTGAAGCTCCTCTCTGCACACTCCTCTTGGTGACCTTGGCGTTTGCAGGAGGCTCGGGCTGAGATGGTGAGTCCACACGTGCCGACTCATCCTCCAACCCCTCCTCTCTAGCAGGACCAGAAACTTGCTGCTCACCACCGCCACTGTGGTCACTGGTCAGCTCTGACCCAGGGAGATCCTCAAGGTGCAGCTGAACCTCCTCCACTGCAATCCGCTCAATCTCGTGTAGACGCAAGCTAATCTGCACCTGCTGCTGCTGCTGCCAATCCTTGTACATGATGTCCTCCACAAACTTGACATCACGACTGACCAGCGTCCTCTTGCTCTTGGGGTCCCACATCAGCCACCCCTTCGAGTCAGGAGCCATCCCAAGATGGACAGCCCACACATCAGCAACTTCCAGCTTGTGCCTCTGCTCCTTAGGCACCATCACAAGCCCCATGCAGCCCCACACCCGCAGCATGTCAATGGATGGCTTCTTCCCAAGCCAACGCTCGTACGGCACCCAATGCTTGTCGCCAACATGAGTCAAGACCCTGTTCTTGACCGTGATGAGATGGCGAACAGCTTCAGGCCTGAACTTGTAAGGCATCCCAGCAGCCCCCAACAAGGTCTTAGCCGCCTCGCCAATGATCCGGTTGGCACGCTCAGCAATGCCGTTCTGCTGCGGTGTTCCAGGGCAGGTGAGCTGATGTCGGATGTCATTTCTCTTGAGGAACTTGGTGAATTCCGCTCCAAGGAACTCTCCACCTTGGTCGCTCCTCAGCACCTTCACCAGTCGAATCGCTTGCCGCTCAACCATCGGCAACCAATCCTCCTTGATCGCCGCTTCAGCATCGCTCTTCTTGGACAAGGGACACGCCCACGTGGAACGGCTCTATTCGTCCACCATGGTAAGGAACTACATCACTCCCCTAGTCCCCTCAGTCCTCATAGGACCCACAAGGTCCATGTGCACCACCTCCAATGGTGCCTTCGCTGATCCCTCCGCTCGTGGGAACGGGAACCGCGCAAACTTGTTTTGCATGCACGCCTTGCAGCTGCCATAATGAGTGCCATCTCCTTGCAGTTGCAGCCCATGCACGCACTTCTCCTTGTGCATCACCTCCAGTGTTGAAACAACCACGTGTGCGAGTCGCCGATGCCAAGTCTCCCAATCCGCTTGGCCCGAGGTAGCCGACGCCTTCACCGTCGCGCTTCCTCCAATCAGCTTCTCTCCTTGCACACCTTGCTGCTCCTCCTTGGTGACGCTCTCCTCCATAGATGTCGCCGCTCCCGCCTTGCTCGATTTCCGCCAAGGGAGGACCGGGATCTGCCACATCCGCTTGTGGACATCCCCTTTCCACTGCATGTCCCAAATCAGCCGCTCATCGTTGTAGGCTCGATAGCGCTACGAGCCAATCGTCTCGATGTTCACACCCGCATCTCCCAATCGGCCGGTAGAAATCAGGTTCGCGCACAAGTCCGGCACCCACAGCATGTTCTTCAGCCCCACGAGCTCTCCATCCGCTTCCATGAACTTGGCGCATCCCATGCCCATGACCTTGGCCTTGGCGCCCGTCGCGGATGTGACTGTAGAGATGGGTGCGGGCTGAATCTCATCAAGTAGGTCCGCACGAGGAGTCATGTGCCAAGAGCTCTCGGAGTCAATCACCCAATGGGTGAGGGGGTGTAGGAGAACCTTGGCAGCCATAGCGTGGTCGGTTGCGCCTTCGTTCACGAAGAAGAAGAACCCGGCCTTCCGCTCCTCAGATTTGCCGCCTTTCTCCTCCTCCTTCTCCTCTCCACTAGCTCCCATGACTCCCCTTCTCATCGTGCCACCACGCTGGTTGCTTGATGAAGGCGGGATCCAATCCTTGTGTCGTTAATAGCACTTCCGCCAACGATGTCCGCGCTTCTTGCAATAGAACCACACCTCCCCTTGACCCCCGCCGCCATCCTCCTTAGGGTTATCCTTGTTCTTGCCCTTCCACTTCTTCTTGAAACCACTCTTTCCACCTCCAACTCCATGGCCAGCCCCCTCCTCCGAGCGCTCCACACTCCGCCGCCACAAGTCCTCCTCTAGGATGCGTGCGCGAATGTAATCCACGCTCCACTTGGGCTGTTGAGAGTTGAGTTTGATCGCAAGGGCAGACCACGACTCCGGCAGCCGTATCACGATCCCCACGCATTGCACGAGCTCGGGGTACACCACACCGCCTCCTTGGAGCTTCGTGAAGATGTCGCGCATCTCATCCAACACCGGTTGCATCGGCTCTCCATCAACGAACTTGATGTTGCGCAGCCGCCGCGCGAGTAGCACGATGCCGGTAGCATGTGTCGGTGAGTGCACATTCAGAAGCTTCCTCCAAGCCTTGAGGCCACACTCTGGATCACCCAAGAGGTCCTTGATGTGGTCAAGTTGTCGCCCGCCAACCGCTTGCACCATTAGCATGTACGCGTCAAACGATCGCTTCATCCACGCTCCTTTCAGCTCCGCGGCCTCCGGCATCTTCTCCTTCCCCTCCACGAAATCCAATAGCTTGTATTGGGTATACATCAGCCTCATGCGGAAACTCCAGTGCTCGTAGTCCTCCCCCATGAATTTCTCAATAGAGAAAGCTTTCACATGATCCACGGTAGTAAGAGATGGTGTAGAAGAAGTAGGTAGCGTAGGGTTGGCTGGTTGGTGAGTCCCCACTCCTCCACCAGCAACTCCCCCCTGCTCTCCAGCCTCTCTACTTCTATCCATCTCGCCACTAGCACCTCCGGAGTTCGTACCAACCATATTGAGGCCTTATGAACGGTGGAAACTTGAGAAATCGTTTGGAGAGAATTTTGCCAGAAATTTTGATTCTACAAAAATCGTCGTCACGGACTGGATACTTCGAATTAGAACGCGGTTTGACCACCAATCGAATGTTCGCAACTAGACCTACTATAAAATGGTCTTACTTGACAACATTGGTTGAAAATTCACGACGATTCGTTGTCTCAAAGTCAACTACCCGCTCTGATACCACTTGTTCAGGATCCGTCACTTTGAGAGCTTACGACGAACTCATTACTCAACTAGACGCAAATCCGCTCAGTAAGAAGTTGCGCCTTAGGCTTAGCTACCATCTCCAAGTTGAATTATTTGTTAAGATGGTCTATAGAGTGAGAACCAAGTAAAAACGTCCAGCAGCCGCATGACTAGTATGGTGGAGGAAGTACAAGCATTAAGACATAGAAAGTTGGATTTGGGAACCTCCAAGAGAACCATGAGAGAGAAGGGGTTCTCCAAGAGCTAGGGAAGGATGATAGGAACCTTCCTAGCAGCAAGGATGCAACCCTCATCATGAGGTCCTTGAGGTGTCACATGCAAAATCCAATCTAGTTGGATTTTGCCTAGGTGTTGCAACATTTGCAACCCATGCTAGAAACTTCTAGCCACCCCAATCCAAAAGTCAAAGTTGCCTTCCCTAACCACCCAACCAAAGATCCCTTTATAGTCATGTCCCAAGTAATCACCCAAATTAGATGTATCCTCAAAAGGTAATAAGAAATCCAAGTCTTGGAAATCTTGTAACTTGGGCGATCTTGGTCGAAATAAGGTGATCTTGGTATCGTTGGAATGTCAGAATATATTTGCTGTCTAGCCTGCAGTGGGGTACTCTGTAATGAGTACAACCCAATTTAGGGCAATGTACTTGTATCCCAACTCTTGCTAGTCACTTCACTTCCCTTCCAATTTCTCGACTCTCACCTAACCCACTCGAACTTACCTATCTCCTAGTGTGGGCCTAGGCTACTAAGCCTAGGCCCCACACCTAATATTTTCACATGTTATCAGAGCCCGTTCTACCTTGGCCTGTGGGCCCCTATGCTTCCGCTGCAGTCCTTCTTCCTGCCGTTTTTTAGGATTTCGGAGTTTTTCATCCCGCCGTGCGCTCGGGGCGCGCGGCGGTTTTCCCGTCCTTCGAAGCGCCCTCGGGGGGCCTGCGCGCTGCCCTCCCCGCTGATCGTCGCGACGCCCGTGCGGGACCCGCGCGGCGTCACCCTGCTCGTCGCGACGTCCGTGCGGGACCCGCGGGGCGTCACCCCTGCTCGTCGCGACGTCCGTGCGGGACCCGCGGGGCGTCGCCCCTGCTCGTCGCGACGCCCCATGCGGGACCCGCGGGGCGCCGTCAGTTCCTGCAGCAGCAGCCGCCGCCGCCCTGCAGCAGCAGCCGCCGCCAGGCCTACAGCAGCAGCCGCCGCCAGGGTCTGCAGCAGCAGCCGCCGCCAGAGCCTGCTGCAGCAGGCGCCGCCAGGGTCTTCAGCAGCAGCCGCCGCCAGGGTCTGCAGCAGCAGCCGCCGCCAGAGCCTGCAGCAGCAGCCGCCGCCAGAGCCTGCAGCAGCAGCCGCCGCCAAAGTCTACAGCAGCAGCCGCCGCCAGAGTCTGCAGCAGCAGCCGCCGCCAGACCTGCAGCAGCTGCCGCCACCGACCCAGCAGCAGCAGCCGCCGCTCTATCAGCAGCAGCAGCCGCCGCTGCTCTGCCGCAGCAGCTACCGCCGCCCAGCTGCAGGTGCCGCCCCTGGACCCCAGAAGCCGCCCCTGGACCCGGTACGCCTTGTGCTGCCCGTGCCTGTGCTGCCCGTGCCTGTGCTGCCCATGCCTGTGCTGCCCGTGCCTGTGCTGCCTGTGCCTGTTGCTGCCCGTGCCTGTTGCTGCCCGTGCCTGTGCTGCCCGTGCCTGTGCTGCCCGTGCCTGTGCTGCCCGTGCCTGTTGCTGCCCGTGCCTGTGCTGCCCGTGCCTGTTGCTGCCCGTGCCTGTGCTGCCCGTGCCTGTGCTGCCCGTGCCTGTGCTGCCCGTGCCTGTGCTGCCCGTGCCTGTTGCTGCCCGTGTCTGTGCTGCCCGTGCCTGTGCTGCCCGTGCTTGTGCTGCCCGTGCCTGTTGCTGCCCGTGCCTGTGCTGCCCGTGCCTGTGCTGCCCGTGCCTGTGCTGCCCGTGCCTGTTGCTGCCCGTGCCTGTGCTGCCCGTGCCTGTGCTGCCCGTGCCTGTGCTGCCCATGCCTGTGCTGCCTGTGCCTGTTGCTGCCCGTGCCTGTGCTGCCCGTGCCTGTGCTGCCCGTGCCTGTTGCTGCCCGTGCCTGTGCTGCCCGTGCCTGTTGCTGCCCGTGCCTGTGCTGCCCGTGCCTGTGCTGCCCGTGCCTGTGCTGCCCGTGCCCGTGCTGCCCGTGCCTGTTGCTGCCCGTGCCTGTGCTGCCCGTGCCTGTGCTGCCCGTGCCTGTGCTGCCCGTGCCTGTGCTGCCTGTGCCTGTTGCTGCCCGTGCCTGTGCTGCCCGTGCCTGTGCTGCCCGTGCCTGTGCTGCCCGTGCCTGTGCTGCCCGTGCCTGTTGCTGCCCGTGTCTCGTGCTCGCGCCCCCGTGCGCTCTGCTACTGTCTGCGCCCTCGTGCGCACTGTCCCCCCCCCCCCCCCCCCCGTTTGCGGGTGTGGGGGTGCTCCGTTTGTGTCGCCCCTTCCTTCTCCTCCTCCGTCGTCTCCCACTGCTGCAGCTGTCGCTGAGGGGGGTGGTTGTGTGGGAGACTGGGGTTTAGGGTTTAAGGGGGGTGCGTGGGAGTGGAGCTAGGGGTGTAGCAGCGGGTGTGTGTCAGGGGGGTGGGACTGTTTGTGGGAGGTTGAGCGGAGGCTGCCGTCTTGTAGTCCGCAGCACCTGTAGTCCGGGGCGCTGTCCTGGTAGCCCAGTGAGCCTGCTGCGCCTGTCGCCCGTGGGTCCGTTGCTCCTGCCGCTCTTCGTAGCCGCCGAGCCAGTTACTCCAGTAGTCCGGGGCGCTGTCCCGGTAGCCACTGTGCCAGCCGCTCCTGTTGCCCGTGTGTCTGCAGCTTCAGCAGTCGCCTCCCATCTCCTCTCCTCTCACTCTCCCTCCTCCTCCTCACCTGCCCGTTGTGACCACCACTAGCTTTGCTGATAATTGTGCACTTTAACTATTGCTTCTTGAACTTGTGCTCAGAATGTGTGGTGACATTGTGATCCACCCTGAGCTTGTACTGCTTTGCCTGCTCTGCTGATTTCACCCCACTTTGGCTATGGGGGTGTGTCAGAATATATTTGATGTCTAGCCTGCAGTGGGGTACTTTGTAATGAGTACAACCCAATTTAGGGCAATGTACTTGTATCCCAACTCTTGCTAGTCACTTCACTTCCCTTCCAATTTCTCGACTCTCACCTAACCCACTCGAACTTACCTATCTCCTAGTGTGGGCCTAGGCTACTAAGCCTAGGCCCCACACCTAATATTTTCACATGGAAAGCTCTGGATTTCTCCTGCACGATCAAGCATTTAGACTTGGAGAAAAACACAGAGATGAAAATATCCAACAGCCATGCATAATGACATATGCTCATGCAAATCATGCAAGCACAAATAGCACGAGCACTCGGCAGGACGTTAGGATGACATGCACTCAGAATGACGTGCATCCAATACTACCTGCTGGCCGACTTAGGAGAGCGGCCTCGTTCTCCTCCAGTGCTGTACGTCGACAACAAGGCCGCCATTGCCTTGTGTCAGGAGCACAGACTGGAGCACAGAACGAAGCACATCGCTCTGCGTTACTTCCTGGCTCGAGAGTTGCAACAACGTGGTCAGCTTCGTCTTGCTCACGTGGCCATTCGGGCCAATATTGCTGATATATTCACCAAGGCACTTCGGTCTGGTGATCATCAGCGTTTCTGCACTTTGTTAGGCGTTGTGCCTATTTTTCCTCACTTGCTGTAGACTTTGTTTGTACTGTGATCTATATGTATATATGCATATATATATATGTATATATATACCTGCTTGCTTGCTCTGCTAAGTAGAGATCGCTGTGTTGTTGTTTTTACACACATATCTCTGCATGTGTGTTAAGAAACTAGCGTGACTTAGGAGCCATGGCTAGTGAGTTCGAGTTGAAGGAAAGTATCGAGAAAGTTTAAGAAGGAGAATGAGGGGTTTCACTATAGGTTCAAGGGTACAAATATGAAAGAACAAACAAGAAAGGTGCACCACCAAATAGGAAAACGCTATAACTACAGTAACCAATCCTACATGCAGTTACATATAGAAAATATTAACTTATATTTTCCGACAATGTGAACTGGCATTGTGACCTTCTGTTTGTGCTCAGACTGCGTGGTGACGTTGTGATCTACCCTGAGCTTGCTTTGCACTTCCTGACTGGCCTTGTGACCCTTTTTTCTCCCCCACTTTGCCTATGGGGGTGTGTCAAACATCTAGTTATATGTTATAGTTTGGGTAGGCTTTAGTGGGGTACTCACTGTGAGGTACAACCCCTTAGGTCATACTTTTGTACCAAACTCTCGATAGTCCAAAATTATCCTTTCCTAAGATTCTAACATTAATATATGAATATCATGCGTACATTATCTACGGTTGACGTGAGCCAGGATATATAGTTCAATGCAGACTTGATCGATTTGTAGCACCTCAAAACGATATCGGTTTGATGCTCCGTGGGAAACACTTCGCACTTTAATGATGTCGTATCGAGGTGTTCCATATGGCGAATCAAACCACACCACAGCAAAACCCAGGGCTGTTCTCCTTGAAACGAGCGCGACTCGTCATCTCAGCGTTCAGTGTTCGATTCCGTGAGTGAGTTGACGGTTCCAAAGATTCCATTAGACGAGCGGCATGTCATCCTGCTGTTTTGCTTGACCCTCGAAAAGGCTCTGTCTGGATTCGACCAATACACGTAGATCCTAAGCCGACTCGCCTCGATTTCATCTGGGTGAGCTGCTCTCCCTCCCACCTACCTTCAGCCATGCCACCCAGACTTCACAAAATTCCCGAGCCATGCCACCCAAACTTCACAAAATTCCCGAGCCAAACTCCGGCAAAATTGCGCGACGCGCCGGCGCGCGAACGTTTTTTTTTATTAGCCAATCTCGCACCGCAGGTAGGGCGACCAAACCTCCTCCAGATGGGTCGATCTACATTCGATTTTGCGATTGCAACTGAAATTTTTGATGTGTGGGAGTCGGTGGTCCCTCTCGATATCACTATTTCGGTAGCGCGAAAATGTTTGGCGCGTGTGTCACGCTTCTTGTCTACATTCATTTTTTGCCACGTGTCCACCACGATTTACTGAAACATTTAGGGAGCACAAAATATAGTCTGGAGCCGACAAAAAATAAACCCCGAAATACAGGGACGCAATTCGGGAGGCATCAACCCTAAACAAAGATGTCAAGGTGTTTAGGGTTGATGCCTCGAATATGGTACAATTCGGGAGGTATCAACCCTAAACACGGGAGCTGGCAAGGTGTTTAGGGTTGATACTTTGAAAGCGGTGCCTGGCTCCCTAGGGGTTTTAGTTTGTTTTACACCGTATAAAAATCAAGACCTAAAAAAAATCAGCATAAGACAAGCCTTGTCGGCGCGACCAGACTGAAGTTACGAATCAGCGTCGCAAAATCTGTTTTTGGTGAAAGAACTGAAACCCCATGCTGTAATTTCGTGAATCTGACCGTAAATCCAAATTGCACCTGTAACGCCAAGATTCACCCGTTTGCAGCATAAATATAACGTAGAATCGTGTGTAAGTCGATCCATCTGGACGAAGTTTGGTCGCCCTACCTGCGGTGCGAGCTTGGTCAATGGGATTAAAAAAAGTTCGCGTGCCGGCGCGTCGCGTAAGTTTGCCCCAAACTTCACACCCCGAAGCGTCTCCATCCACCCTAGCACACCGTCCACACTTGACACAAGCGGAGAGCTTGGATTGGGCGAGCAAGACGAATCATTCCACCTCGGCCAACCGCAGCCAAGTGTCTGCCGCCAGTTCCCAAGGGACCACAAGCCTTCCTCCCGGGTAACTAGCTTTGGCGGGGGTACTACTAGCGACCCTGCGCTTCCCAGGAAACTACAGTGCTGATTGCGGGCACTTTCCACCCCTCTGAGCCTCAGACAGGTAAGTTATGGTAACAACACAGAACTCGGTCTGAAATTGACCCACGTGTCACGAATTCGAGAAAATTAGAGAACGAAGGGCAGAAAAAATTAATACCCATAGGGAACCTGGACTCATTTTCGGGAGTAATCAACCCTAAATACGGGAACCGGCATTTTTTCTAGGGTTGATGCCTGGAAAAGACGCATCCCTTTCCGATCGGGTTTTAGTTTTTTTTTTTCGGTCAGGTTTTTCCAGTGGCTTGCAAATTTTCCAGTGGGTTGGGTGCATGTGGAGCTGAGTTCCGTGTTGTTGCAGTAAATTTCCTGTCGGAGGGATAGAGGGGCGGTAGTGCCCTCAACTAGCGCTGTAGTTCCCTGGAAAGCGCAGGTTCGCTAGTAGTACCACCGCGAAAGCTACTTACCCCTTCCTCCCTCCCTCCCTCTTCCTTTCTTTTGTGCCTTCCTGCGTCTGCCTGCCTGCTCATCCTCTTTCCCATGCTAGGCTGAGGGCATAAGAGCCAGCTCCAAGCTCCAGTATTTTGTGCGGTTTTCCTCTGTTGCTCGTCTTTCCAACGCGAAGGCACGTGTCAATCGCTCTTTGTCCATCCTCGGCGATTTTGTCCCTGTGGAAAACCTGGATTTCAAGTCTCGAAATCAAAGCATTTCGCTCTTGAAGCCTGGTAATTGTGTTTGCGGATTCGTCCTGGTTTGGTTCCGAAATGACGGGAGCTACAAGCGAGATGGACAGGCGCATGGAGGCCGAATCACACAGCGTGACTATCCCAGTGGCGACGTCGCCGCTTTTGGCGCAAGAGGTGCGCTATAAGCTGGAAGCAGTGCACGATAATAGTACGCATTTCGTCTTTCGGGTCCTTAACCTTCCGCGGTTTTCGAATTTCAGTGTCACGAATCACGAGTCGTCCTCTGCTCATCTCACTCTAGCCCAGTTCCCGTAGCCCTTTCGTCATTCTTGCTCGCGCACATGTATGAATTTTCACGCACGATGCAGCCTTGCACCCCTTCCCGACCCTGATTATCGTCCTATCCAATATTGTTTCGTCAATCGTCTTTTATTTTGCTAGATCTCTCCGCCACAGGCACACGGGAAGCCTCACGTCCACGATCCCAGCAACTTGAGCCACATTCTCGAGACCCGTCGCCGGCTCGTCGGCAGAGCGCTGCTCGTCGCAACGTGTGTGTCGCTGGCGATCCTGCTCTGGACGTGCATCCACGGTGATTCCGTCGCCGAATCCTCGGGCGACGCGTCGTCCGCCGGAACAAGCGGCGCGACTGGCGGATCGTCGTTTAGCAGCTCTGCGGCTGCGCGGTTCCTGGTGCTTGGCGACTGGGGTCGCGATGGAGAGTACAACCAGTCACTAGTGGCAACACAGGTGCATACGCAGTGTGGTGTGGCTAGGATGGTGTCTACGGTGATGCCAACACAGCCGCGCTATCGAAATCAAGGCGGGATACTTGCCTTGAATGATCAGGGCAGGATACGCCAGATTTGTCTGGCTGTCGGTATCCGTCGCTGGGTGTTCTTTGGGCGCGGTGTCGGGACGCGACTTAATCCGTCGGTCGGCGTGTTTTTGTTGCTCGCGAAAACGACTTGATTTAGTTGCCGTTACCGTTACCCACCTGGGCCTCGCTCTCGTTTCGCATAGTGACAATCCTGCTCCCTTTTTCCTACGATCGTCGCGCTGCTGATCGCGTACCCCATTCGCCACGTGTCCCCAGATGGCGCGAGTTGCGGCGGACATGGCGCCGCAGTTCGTCATCTCCACGGGCGACAACTTCTACGACTCGGGGATAGCTGACGTGGCAGCGCAGCAATTCACCACGTCGTTCACGAACGTGTACTCGCAGGCGTCGCTGCAGGTTCCCTGGTATTCCGGTGAGTTCTTATCGTCTGCGAGTTCCACCTCACATATACAAAAGCGCCTCCCCGCGCCTTCCGCAATGCGTTTGTATGCCCTTGCCTCGTTGTTCGTTGCGCGTCTGGCCATAACTACTTCCTCAACGCGTGAGTCTCCTGTGTGTCGCCGTGTGCGTAAATGTGTTCGTCGTTGTGCGTGCAGTGCTGGGCAACCATGACTACTATGGCAACGCGCTCGCGCAGCTGCACCCACACCTCTCGGCCCGCGACCCGCGTTGGGTGTGCCGCCGCAGTATGGTGCTCTCTCTGCCGCTCTGCAGCAACGCGCAAGGTATGCGCTGCGACACGAATCTCACGTTTGGTTTCAAGCTCGGGACTCGTTAAGGTGTGGGTGAGCTGAAAAAGTGAGAGTTTGATCTAGAAAGTTGTTGTTTTCTCTGTAGATGGGTGATGTTGATTTCGTGGGGAGCATTACTCTTGGGGAAAGAGTGTAGAATGTGTGGGATGGAAAGAGGTCGAGAATGGCAGTTGCGGACAGGGTCGAGTGTGATGCTGGGGAGCTGCTCAACACAATAGCTGCATGATGCACACTACTCCAATTGAGCATTTGAAATCCTCCTCCTGCCCGACTTGACTGCAGGCTTTGAATGCTAAGTCAACCTTCACTGCTCTGTCCTTCCCTGTCTCTGCCATTCTCCACTGTTTATTGTATCCTTTGGTCCCCCAGGTGTCTCCTGCACGGACCTGCTGGATATCTTTCTGTATGACACCACTCCCCTCGTGCGCGAGTACCGCTCTGAACCGCACCGTTCGCTAGACTGGCGCGGGCTCAACGCTAACAACTGGACCAAGCAGGAGCGCGCTCAGCTCAAGGTGAGAGGGGCAAACTCACTGTGTTGTTACTGTGTTACTGTGTTACAGTGTGACGGTGAGGCAGTGAGACACTGGTCGGTCGATCTGTTTGGTCATACCTCTTTCTGCCTAGTTTCCTCGTAGCATTGTCTGTTTGTATCTCTCTCCTCCTTACTCCTGCTTGTACCATTTTCCGCCTCACTCCGCCCATGTCACCCATCCTCTCTTCTCGACCTCACTCTCCCATCCCCTAAACTCTGGCAGGAACTGGAGGGCTGGCTGAGCAACTCCCAGGCCACGTGGAAGGTGGTGATTGGCCACCATCCGGTGTACAGCTTTGGCGACCATGGCAACCAGCAGGAGCTCGTTGAGGCTGTGAAGCCGCTGCTGGAGGTGAGCGTGGTGCTGTGCGGTGCTGTACTGTGCTGTGATGTCTCAGTCAACCATGAGTCCCAGGGGAGAGGAGAGGGGGCAGGGGGGAGTGGGGATGAATGGTGGTGGTGGTTTGGTCCGTTGTATCATCAGCCAGGAGGAGCTTTTTTAGTCTGTGCAAGCGGATGCTTGAGCTGAGTGGCTGAGTGCTTGCAATATGGGTGCGTGAGTCTGGGAGTGGAAATGGTTAGGTACTGGGCTTGTTTGCCCTGGAGCGGAATCAGCAGGGGCTCGGTGCTTCTCACAGTGAGTTTTGCTAAAGAAGAGGAAGAAATGAGGGACTGGAAGAGGGGGGGCCGGGGCGGGGCCAGGGGCGGGGGCAGGGGCGGGGGCAGGGGTGGGGGTGGGCGTGGGGTGGGGAAAGGTTAAAGAGGAAGTGCGGGATTTGCAGTGGTTGTGGCAAGCTACCAGCAGGAGCTGAAGATTTTTCCAGACTGGACTGGAAGTGTGATACGACATACCACGCGGATGAGCAGATTACCTTACCGACCGATCTCTTCCTGAGCGCCTATCTGAATCGATCTTTCTTTCCATGTTTTGCTGATTCCTGTATCTCTTCCGCCCCTCTCGCTCCTATCCCCCCCTCTCTGGGTTGCTTCTTGCGTGTATGTTGCACACCCACCCACCCATCAGAGGCACAATGTGCAGCTGTACATGAACGGCCATGACCACAACCTGCAGCATATCCGCAGAGACGACAGGTATTGTGCCGTGTCTATCGAGAATGTGTGCTTGCACTGGAATGTGCTCTGCCCAAACGATACCATTTCACACCACACCACACCACGCCACTCCACCCCACACCACGCCACACCACACGGCACCACACCTTCTGCAGTGCCATATGATTATTGGGTGCCTTAGGCACATCTTTCTTGGGAAAATGATCAACAATCGCTTGTGAATCCCCCCTTTTCATCTGCTTTCTCCTTGTAGATCCCCCTTTTTCATCTGCTTTCTCTCAGCAATAGCCTCTTACCGGTACCTCTGCCATCCTTTCTCTTACCAACTGCAACCATATCCTCCATCCTGCCCGGCAGCCCCGTGAATTATGTGACAAGTGGTGGCGGCAGCAAGGCATGGAGGGAGGCGCCACCTGCAGCAGACGCAGCACCAGGGTTGCAATACTTCTGGCCAGGCCAGGGATTTGTCGCAGTGGAGGTGGATGCGGGGGAGGTGCGACTGTCATTTGTGGGGGTGGATGGGAGTGTTATGTATGAGACGCGGTTGAGCAAGGAAGGCAGGTGACTATGCTGTGAAGGAGGGTGTAGATGGAGAGGTTCTAATGTTCGGTACATACTGGGTAGAGTGCAGGAACATATGCTGAAGGATACCTATGTAGTGCTTCCATCAGAGGCCATCGACAAAGCCCTATGTGATTTGATTGGGGTAGGGCAATAAAATACCTATGTGTTTTGAGTAAATATTCCTGATATTGATCGACACATCCTTTGGTGCTACCGTAATCCCCCGTATATAGGACACCCCCAGTTGTAGACCCCCGGGTCTATAGTACGGACCCGGGTACTCTATTCGAGTACATCTGAGTTATACCCCCTAGATAACCCCTAACATTATAAGACCCCCCCACATCCTAGAGAAGTGTGGATTTTACAAACAAGCAATTCAAAATGGTCATAATCCGTGCCGGAATGCAGTAGGGGTGTCTGGAAGATCCTGCCCTTTCCAGGACTGTGCAGGCCGCACGAAGCGTGCATGGGGTGTGAAGGCCGAGACCATCAAACGGTGCCCTGCGCTGTCGTGTGAACACCAAGTGGTGTTGGTGGCCAATGGGAGTAGGCTCCCAGATAGGGTTTGTGATGACGTGGGTTCGGCCCGTGTGGAGACCTGCTGCAATCAGGAGTTGATCGTGGCCTAGGATCTACTCAGGAAGGTTCGCACGCAGAGAAGTGATGTTGGTGGACCCTTGACCTCAATAGCAGAGTGAATGTAAAATGCTTTGAGATGAAATAGAACATGCAAATATAGCAAATATAAATATGAGTACAGGGGAGATGAAACGACCTAGCTAGCCATGTACTCTAAGGGGTACATTCCCTTATTCAAATACATTACCAACCGTGCGGCGCGAACAGTTACGAAACTGTTCCCGCCGAAACCATCCTGCCTGCAGCTGCCTGATGCTGTATGCTCCGACGGTTCAGATGCGTCCCAACTGTCTGACGCTTCGAGTCGTTTCCAACCGTCTGACGCTTCGCGTTCATTCGCGATACTGCGTGCTTCTCTTTGCTGCGGTGAGGAGTGCACAGTAATATTCAAGTATTACTATTCGTAAGACCCCCCTTCACTCCTGGCCGCGGCTCAACTTGACCTGCTTGACCACGCCGCTGAGTTCGGAGCAGTGCTGATACTGCTGGCGTGGCAGTCGCTTCGTGAGGAAGTCTGCTGCCATGTCACCGGTCGGGCAGTAGGTCAAGTTGACCTTGCCCTTGTCTACCTCATCCTTCACGAAGAAGTACCGCAGCGCAATGTGCTTGGTCCGGTTGACGAAACCAGGTTTGTTCGCGATGCGAATCGCGCTCTGGTTGTCGCAGTGAAGGCGAAATGTGGGCGAAGCTGGAATTTTCGCCTCTTGCAGGAGTTCCTGCAAGTAGAGGCCTTCGCGAACTGCTGCGGTTGCTGCGATGAATTCCGCTTCGGCTGACGACATGGCAACCAGCTCCTGCTTCTGCGAGTTCCAGGAGATTGGTCCCGTTGGCTCGAGTCAGAACAGGAAGCCAGTCCTGGACCGTCGATTATCGGGGTCTGCTGCGTGATCGGCGTCCACATAGTCGATGAGGTTGAAGGATGGAGTTGGTGCAGTTAAGTAGCACAACCCAATCTTGGGCGTTGAAACGAAGAACTGAAGGGCGCGCTGCAGATCCAGAAGATTCTCAGCCGTTGGTTTGCGTGAGTACTACGCCAGCTGACTCGCGATGTACGAGAGATCTGGCCTGCAGGTGACAGAGGCGAAGAGGAGGCATCCCAACTACTGCTGGTAAGTCTGAATCCCAGCAAGGGATAGGGGTTTTGAGAACAGTAGAACGAGAATGAGATGACTAAGGAATGGAAGTGATACAAATATGCAACCCTACAAATGTGTACCCCATATGAGCTACCCCAATATAGCCTACACAATATTATAATTTGACACACCCCCATAGGCAAAGTGGGGTAGAACAAGGGGTCACAAGACCAGTCAAGCAAAGCAAAGCAAAGCTCAGGGTGGATCACAACGTCACCACACAGTCCGAGCACAAGGTCAAGGCCACAAGGCCAGTTCACATGCAGGAGTACACATATATATATAAGGCTAAACAAGCAAGAGTAGGTATATATATATATGTAAGAGTACAAGCAAGGACAAGGGGTGAGCAAGTGAGGCAAGACGGGCACAAGACCCAGCTGAGTGCAGAAGCTCTGATGATCACAAGGCGGAAGTGCCTTGGTGAAAACATCAGCAGTGTTGGCCTCAGAGGCCACGTACGCAAGTCGCAACTGACCACGCTGCTGCAACTCACGAGCAAGAAAGTAGCGGAGAGCAATGTGCTTCGTTCTGTGCTCCAGGCGCTGCTCCCGACACAAGGCTAGCATGGCCTTGTTGTCTACGTATAGCACCATAGGAGAACGAGGCGGCTCTCCGAGGTCAGTCAGTAGGTAGGTAAGCAAGCGAAGCTCCTGTGCAGCCATGGCCCCGGTGTAGATCTCAGCCTCACAACTGGAGCCGAGAACAGAAGACGAGCGAGTAGCCCGCCACGAGACAGAGCCGGAACCAAGACTGAAGGTGTAACCCTGTGACGACCGCTACGTAGCCTGGTCGTCAGCCCAAGAAGCGTCCGCGTGCCCAGTGAGGACCACTGGAATCCGCCCTCCAAGCACTAACCCCATGCTCGACGTACTGCACAAGTAGCGCAACACCCTCTTCGCTGCAGCCATGTGCTCTGGTCGATGTCTCCTAGGAGCACCATAGCGTGCAAGAATGCTAAGAGGGTATGCAAGGTCAGGTCGTGTGCAGGTCATCAGGTACATGAGGCAGCCAACAAGCTCTGGGTACGGGCCACTCGACTCTACGGACTCATCCGAAGGCAGAGCTGAGAGCGAGTGGCGAGTAGACAGAGGAGTGGCCTGAGGCGAGGAGTACGTGAAGCCGAAGCGCTGAAGGACCTGCTGCACCATGTGTGACTGAGTCAGGGTAATGGTGCAGCGTGCTCTGTCCCGGGTGATCTGCAAGCCAAGGTAGCTGCGCACTTCACCCAGGTCTGTGCACGTGTGTCTCTTCTGCAGCTCGAACTTCACGTGGGCGAGTCCAGCAGTGTCACCTGTGGCAAAGACCAAGACGTCGACGTACACAAGGATGTAGAACGGCGGCAGAGAGGTGCCGGTGCATAGAAACAGCGACGGGTCAGCAGTAGAGGGAGCAAACCCAAGAGCCGCAAGTGTAGTCCTCAGTGTGTCGTGCCACTCGCGCGGTGCCTGGCGGAGACCGTAGACTGGCCGTCGGAGGCTCCACTGGGTGCCTGGAGGGAAAGTCCCAGTGAAGCCAGGTGGACGGCGCAACCAGATCTCCTCGTGTAGGCTACCCTGCAGGAAAGCAGTGCTGAAGTCAAGGGAGTGAAGCTCGTAGTCACGCTGAGCGGCTACGTGTAGCAGCACCCGAAGAGTGGTCATCTTCGGGGTGGGAGAGAAGGTCTGAAAGTAGTCAACTCCCTGCCGCTGACTGAAGCCACGAGCCACGTACCGCGCCTTGAAGACAGGTGGAGAGCCCGGCGGCCGCTTCACCCTGAAGATCCACATGCCACTGACGATGTTCGCCCCAGGAGGGGGAACCGCGTCAACGTAGGTGCCTGTGGACTTCCAGGAAGCCATCTCTGCATCCATAGCTGCCTGCCACTGAGAGGAGTAGGGACCCTCTTCGGCCTTCGCGTAAGAGTGCGGAGTCGGGATGTCTAGTGCATCCGGGTCTCCCTCAGGGGTAAGCAGTACGGACGCGAGATGAGGTGAAGCAGCAGCCAGACACTGGAACTCCTCCTGCCTGTCCTCTAGGACGTCCGTGCCAAGAGCAGACTCACCCCCGACGGACGGAGGACAGACAGACGCAGACTCAGCAACAAGACTAGCAGCGTAGTCTAGACGACAGCGAGCAGCAAAGTCGACGAGCTCAGCAACAAGAGCAAACGCAGCAGTGGACTCAAACGAGGGGTCAGTGACGACAGTAGCAAGGAGACGCGTGACAGTAGGACTGGCAGCACGAAGAGAGTCCGACTCCGGGTCGGCAAGAGCAGGAAGAGAAGACTTAGGAGGAGAAGGCAAAGGGGCACGCAGAGGAGCAGTGGACAGACGCAGAGACATCCTGTGCGTGCCAAGGACAGGAGGAGGACGCTGACGCGAACCGCGACCACTAGTGCAAGCAGCACGGACAGGCGACGCAGGGCGAGACGCAGGCTCACGACGCTCAGCAAGACCTCCAGTAGGACCAGTGTACGGAGAAGGAGAAGGCAGTGGGGAGGCCGGCGGTAACTGTGACTGCGACTGGACAGGCGGTGGACACTCTAAGGGAGGAGGAAGACCAAGAACCTGCTGAAGGAGCGGAACAAAGTACGGCCGAGGCCGCGCGGCGACTCCAGACACAGCAGGGACAGCACCAGCACCACCAGCGGCAGCACCAGCGTCAGCAGCACCTCCAGCTCCAGTACCTCCAGCAGCACCAGCAGCACCCGCAGCAGGATCGCCGCCAGGACTGACAGCAGTAGCCTCAGCGCCAACACCCTCAGCAGCTCCGACTCCAGTAGCACTCGTAGGACTAGCACCTCCGAGACAGGCGGCACCAGCACCCTCAGCAGCCGAAGAAGCACGAGCTCCAGTAGTACGCCTCCAGCGCCGGGCAAACCACTCGCGCAGCTCCTGTGGAGAGAGTGGCTCCCGCCGAGACGAAGCACCCGGAGAACCACCAGGCCAAGCACCGCTAGACGCCACACGAGCAGGTCTAGCAGCCGCGAGCTCTGCACCCTCACGCGCAGTAGCTCCAGACTCAGCACCCCCAGGCTCAGCAGCTCCAGACGCAGCACCCCCAGGTGAAGGACCCCCAAGCTCAGCACCCCGAGTCGTAGCACCCCCAGGCTCAGCACCCCCAGGCTCAGCACCCCCAGTCGCAGCACACCCAGATTCAGCACCCCCAGGCTCAGCACCCACCCGCACAGCACCCCCAGAGTCAGCACCCCCAGGCTGAGCACCCGCAGCAGTATCAGAGT